GTATTGTAGTTCATCTCCTGAACAGATTACGCCCTCCCAATCGGTGCGCTTGGCAAGGCCTTCATCGTCTCAAGATGTCTTTGTGGGTACATGTGGATACTGCCCCATAAACCGCCGTTCGGGAGGACGATGAGGTACGTTTCCAGCTAGCAGCGAGCAAACCTAAACACTCGAAAAGTCAAATTTAATAAATTATGCAGTATAGGTCAAGCGCACAAATAAAAAAATACCGCAAAGTTCCAACTGGATCAGTAGCTTCCTTTAATCTTTGTACTGTGTATTGTAGCTTCGATCGTTCGCTTCCTTATTATGCGTTTTTGCTGTGCAGCGCTATAGCAGCTACAGCCAGCAAAAACGCATAATATCGAGAGGCTGTGTGTGGGTGTGTGTTCGGGAGCGAGTGCATTTTGTCACCCACTTTCATCTCAGCAACCAGGAAAGCTAGGAGACCGAACTTTGCGTTTCCGTTCCTAACCCGTGTGCCACCCTCCCGTTTCAAGATCTTCCCCCACACGCGCCTAGACCGCTCGTACGGACCTCCGCAAAATATATGCAAATTTCATTAGCGGGAAACGATTTTGCGAACCCCCGGTGTGTTTGTGTGTGTGTGCCCGGGTATTTCAACTCGGCACCCAAGCAAGCTTTGGCGCCAAAATTTTGTGAATGGGTTCCCCGGCCACGTGTCGCCCCAGGACCACAGTACCAACTCTCGTCCACGTCTAGGCCCCGCGTATGAGCGCGTAAAAGTTTCGGCGTGAAAAACCCCTAACTCCGGAGCCAGAAAAGATAGAAAGCTGAAACTTTGAGGTTATGATTCTCATCCATATAAAACTCAAAGATTTCAAATCCTGCCCTAGGGCGTGCACGGTCCACGCAAACGACCCCGTGAGAGTTCCTGGAGGGAAAATCGCTAACTTGGGATCCGGGCCTTCCCGGTGGGAGGCTGGAACTTTTGGAGACTGCTCCCAGCTTATCCACAACTTAAATTTATCAAATTCGGCTCCTGACCTGCGTGGTTCTTATCGAAGGGCCCCCTGGAAATTCTCGGCGGAAAAATGAGTGACTCGGGAACTAGGAAAACCGGGGAGCTGAAATTTTCAGAGAATGTTCGTAGCTCATGTAAAACTTAAATTTACCAAACTCAACCCTCGGGCATGCGTGGTTACTACGTACGCCCTCGCGAAAATTTTTGGCTGGAATATGGGTAACTCCGGAAGTGGGAAAACTAGGAGCCTGAAATTTTAAAAAAATATTCCCAGCCATGTACAACTTGAATTTATCAAATTCAGCCCCCAGTTATGCGTGTTTCTCAAGTACAGCCTGTGAAAATTTTTGGCGAGAAAATGGCTAACTCCAGAAT